CACAATGTTATTTTCCTGTGAGAGCGATTTAAAACACGTCTATCCACTATAGATGAATATACACTATACATGAATATACATTTTTCATTAAGCATAAAAATTTCATTACCATTTATAGAAAAAATTCTAATGAAAGATATTTTAAGTACCATTTAATGAGAATTATATTTATTTTTATTATAACTTTTTTGGATAATGGTAATGAATTTGATAATGAATTTTCAAAAACGAATTTAATTAGTATTTATAATTGTCGAAAAATATATTTGATAAGAATTCAGGAATTCGAGGTTTGAAAGCTTGGCATGCATGATTTCACCTAAAGACAATACATTATTATGTTCGGATATTCGAAATTAATTTCGAAATTCGAATTAATGTTCGAAAATTTATTTTTAAATAATTACTAATGAAATTGTTTGATTAAAAAGCATTAGACAAAATAATGCTAATGAAAAAAAAAATAATTATAATTTTTTTCAATTTAATGCTAATGAATATCGATATAATTAACTACTCCCATGTATGGTTTTAGGGATAGGTATTATTTTGGCTGCTTTCCATATAGTCGGGAAATGGCTAGATGAGATGATCTTATTAAAGATATGTGTTATATAAGGCAAAATGATTTTTATGAATTTGGGATTTAATTCGTCAAATCCAGTGGCATTTGATTTTATAGATATGCATCTTTGCCAGACATCCATTTGAGTCACACCAATGAAATTAAATTGATTGGGGTTGTTAGCAGTGTTCCTAATAGGGTTTGTGTAAAAATGAGTATCAGTTTCGACCATGGGCTTCACGAATTTCGCGTTAATGGTATACGCATCAATATTGATGATATTATGGTTATTGAGTTTACCTATACCAATTTCGCGGATATGTTGCCATGTTGTTTTTGTATTAATCGAACTAGAAAATTTCATTGAAAAATATGCCGATTTAGCATCTCTTATAAGTTTATTTGTAACATTTCGAGCAGAACGATACTCATTATGTAATTGGATAGTTTGAAATCTTTTCCAGCGAGAGTAGGCTAAGTCTCTTTTGACAATAGACTGCTTGATGACATTTGAAGGATAATTCTTCATCTATAGATACCATATAGTATATATTAGACAAATTAATTTTATGGAATTCGTGCAGCAGAAAGTTATAGTCAATAAACATACACTTATTAAGAAACTGAATTTAATTTTTTTGTTAGACTTTTTCTCCGATTTAGGAAACAATGTCCAAAAAACCTAATGGCGAGGAGCGAAATGTCAGCATTCCAACTATATAAATTTTTCTTCGAAAATCTCATTATTAATTATTGAATTATTGCCAACCTTCTTCATATACACAGAAAAAAATAATACATAACTGGAATGAATTTTGTAATAAATTGTATGAATCGAACATGAATTTTTTCAAAAACCATTTTCATTCAGAAAATTAAAAGTTCATAAAATGTATAAACTTGTACATGACGGAAATTTTTTGAATATTTTCTTTTGTTCAACGATATTCATGAAAAATTGCAGAAAAGTCCATTATCTCCTAATCTGTTTCCATGTTTAGTAAATAGTAATCCTATATTAGCGAATTTTGTGTAATAAAATAATATAAATTGAAATGTTGAAAAACAAAATCTGAAACAAGAAAATATCAACAAATATAGTTAAACATCTATTATTCATAATATCCCGCAAATTACGCGCACATTTCATCGACTTTAATCAAAAATTCATAAAGAAGTAAAAAATTTTCCAAAGAAAATTTCAAACATTTTTTAACAAATAGAAAAATAAATATAAATTTGAAATATTTTGAGTCAAGGCTTCTAGATTATGTTTGAAAAAAAAAAAAAATAATAAAAAATTAAAAAATTCATACCATTTAGGAACTTATAGCCTGTTTCACAATATCGAAAGAAAAACTGAGCGAACGAAATTCAGTCACTCGAATTCGACTACATTTTGATTTCTCTAAATCAAATTTTTTCTTCCCTTACGTGTGTCAATTTTCATTCGTTACGTATTTTGAAGTAATAATTGTACCAGATCGTATATTTTGAACTTTACTATCAATTTTTATCAAAAGTACCAAAAATACTACTAAATTGTTTAAAGATAAATACAATTCTACTTTCAGCAAATGACAAATGTAAAAATATTAAAAACATATCCAAAAATATACAAACATTTTTATAAAATTTTTTTGTAAAAAATTTAATTGTGGGCTACTTAATCGCAAGACATTGTCCTGGACTGGCATCAATTATGAATGGATTGAATGTGAATAAAAAGCGGCACAACAAAGGCACTGAAGCGCTAGTAATTTTTATTTCTTTAAATAAGCTGCATAAAATCCTCAAAACTACTTTAAAAATAAATGCTTTTTGCAATAACACAGAAATTTTTATTTTGAAAATTATGATAAAAGATGAAAACAAATATTGTATTGCATATAAAGCATTCTTCTTAGTCTATATTGTACAGAAAATACAAGACATTCTTTTGCAGACTAAGGAGTAGAAAAAGGTTTCCTTGATACTTTTTTATTGGAAAGGGTGTTCTGACAATTTTGTTCTATAAAATAATTACTTTCTGGGATTATATTCTATAAAGGAGTAGCATTGAGTGTCCCTTTAATGAAAAAGTGAGTCTTAAGACTTTCTATAAAGAATTTTTAAATTTTTGTTTAGAACAGCGAAACCCATAGAACTCTCAAAGGAGTTATCTTGCACTCTGTCATTCACATGTACAAAAAGCAAACAAAACTACTCTCTGTATTTCGCTATTTTTCTTTAAAATGGCATTTTGAGATCCTGTTTCAATTTATTCCATGATTTGTATGTATCAGTTGTATGGACGTGGACGCTTTCTAAACATGAAATAAAGAGTAGTTATTATACAAGAATGTTTAGCATATGTTTAGCATACCATTAGTTATATATATTTTTTCAATAAATTAGCATTTTAAAATAAATTTTTATTTGAATTTATTGCATGTCGAAAACAAAATATCAAGTGACTGATTTCGACATTTGCTTTCGCAGAGTTGACTGCTAGTTCGAAATAGAGAAACCAAATTTTGTATGAAAATGCTTACGTTTTCTTTCAACTTATTTTTCGAATCAACGTTCGCATAAAAAGGTAGTTAGAGAAACTCAAATCAATTTTCTTTCGTTTAGAATGCGACCGATATTGTAATTTCGATATTGTGAAACAGGCTATTATTCTTATATATTATTAACTTTTGTTAATGAAAGCAGTTCATAATATTTATGTTGAAACTTTTTTCTGTGTAGCTGACCCAATGTGCACTGTAAGTTAAGATCAGTGTGTATATGACTACGTATGTATTTACATATTTTTACCAATCTGTCTTAAAGATTCAAGCATCTGTGCACGACCATGGATATCGACCGTATTAATTTAGTATCACGGGAGAATTGTCAGAAGATAATTCGTATGATATTTTTACAGTAACGGAGTTTCTATTCAAATTTCTTAATAAGGCAAAATCTATTAAATTAGGATTTTAGAAGGACAAAAAGTAAAATCCAAGCGGTTTCATCGGTCAATTATAGTCTGGTACAACTGTCTGTCTTAGTGATTAATTAATCTGGAATCCCAATATGTTTGCTTATCGTTGTAGTCGTCACATGCCAGGAAACGATTTCTTAGGGCATTAAAAAATTCTTCAAAATGTGAATTAGTCACGAAAAATCTTGGTGGTAAATATAAATTTTGGGAATTTCATGTCAAGAGACCCAACTCAAAAAATCGATTTTGATGAAATTTACATCAAGGTTAGTACTATCGGATAGTAGACCAGACACAAATTTTCAGCTGTATCGGTCAAGAACTGCCGGACTTAGAGTAAGTCAAAGTTTGACGTTTTGGTCATACAGGGTTTTATTTAAATGAGTGTAACTTTTCAACTATTGGTCCTAGCAAAAGGAGGTATCTGACCTCTATTTCTTTATTCTTTCCAATTTTTTTTTTTTAATTTTTAAATTTTTTTTGTAAATAATTATTATGAAAAAAATACGGGAAAATTAATATTGCCAAATATTGAAAAAAAATCCTATTCTTAAGTTAAAAAATAATTTTTTTGATAGATATCCCACTCGCATCCCATTATGGGACTATAAAGTCATTAAAGGAAATCATATAATCTTTATTTTGAGCAGAAAAAAGGGCTCATTTTGAAAAAAAAAATATTTTTTAAAAATAACTTAAACATTTTTTTTGAAAACAATGAAGAATTAACTATCTGAACTCCTTTGTGCAAAGAGTGTGCCAAAGTTTGACATTTTGGTCATACAGGGTTTTATTCAAATGAGTGTAACTTATCACCTATTGGATTTTATATAAATATCTGAATATTTTCTCTATTATTTGGTAAAAGGTTCAATACCAGAGCAGGAAAAGTCGTCCCCTTCTAAGAATGTAGCTGCCTTATACCTTACACTAGCTCTGCAGTACTAAGGATTATGACTGGTAGTCATTAGTCTAAAATTTAAATTAAAGCTAGAAAACTAACGTGCTTTTATAATATACAAATTTAAAAAAATAAGGATAGATTTTTTTAATATGATTCCTAATTTTGTTTTCATAAAAAGAGATGTAAATGTTTATATAATTTCACAAAATGTTTGTTTTGAAGAATCTTATGCAAAAAAGTATCTAACACATCAAAAGTTATGCACTTTTTTAAGAAATTCTTAAGCGCTTTTAATGCTAAAGGGTTAGTACAGAAAGTATAGTCGGCTATGCCCGACCATACTTTCATACTTGCTTTTATTAAAAATATCGAAATGTGCTAACTCATTATTTATTTAAAATATGTTATGTAAGGAACATTTTCTTTTTGCGTAATATTTTATAAAATAATTAGTTTCTTATTCTCCTAAAAAGTTGAATTTTTTGAGTTAGCACTCTTTAAATATAGTATAGTATATCGATATAAAATATATAATAACCTAATATTCTTTGTATTTTTAGGTCTGGTAAACATCCCTGTGGGTGGTAATTTTACTACAAAGTGTTTTTCAAGTGACAAAAATTCGACATGGAAGTTCAAAGAAAAAATCTTTGATTTAAATACAAGGTAAATTTAAGTTTTCAATGTAATAGCTGCGTTAACATAATTGTAAAGTTTAAAGGTTTTAATAAAAATTTAAAGAAATCTAAAAAACTAAGTATGTAGTTCGAAAGACAACAATCGATATCACAGTGAGACAAAATAAACAAAAATAGAAATATCTGGGAAGTGATACCCTTTTTCTGAAAGGTGCTCCGAGTATATCAAGAATCTATTTTTTAAACTTTCCAAACACCTCCAAAATCTTGAGGTACACGCAAAAACACTATTTTTCATACCTTTATGAACTTAAGTCAGTAACTTAGTTAAATATCAAAAGATTTAGGAAAAGGAAACTGAGGCGCTTATAATGATATACATACATATGTTTAAGTATTCTGAATCCGTTGAGAAATTTAAAATCGGTTGAGATTTCAAAAACAGATTCTTGTTCTACTCGGATCAAAAACAGAAAGACTTGATGAGTTGTTTGATTTGTAAGATTTTGTTATGTGTGCTTTTTGTTTAGCTTAGTAGAATGGAGTGTTTTTATACCCACCATCGAAAAAGATGGGGGTATATTGATTTTGTCATTCCGTTTGTAACACATCGAAATATTGGTCATAGACAAAAAAAGTATATATATTCTGGGTCCTTATTAAATTCTAAGACGATCTAGCCATGTCTGTCTGTCCGTCTGTCTGTCTGTTGAAAGCACGAGTCCGAACGGAACGAGCTAGAGGGTTTAAATTATCCACAAATAAGGTTGTTTGGTATCGAAAATGGGCAATATTGGTCCACGTTTTCGGATAGCCCCCATACAAGTGAACCCTCGAAAAACAGCTTTAACGGGCATACTTCTTTTAAGTTCGACATAAATAAGTTTCATATAAGCCAAAAATCTTCCTACCAAATTTTATGAGGATCGGTATTGTAGGAGTCATACAAAACCATGAATATTTTTCAACAAAGTATTTTGCAGTGTTATGAGCAAAATTGCGAAAATTCTCTAGGTGGATTTCGAGACCACAGGAAATAACAACTAATATTGTGCGCATTTATTTTATTAAGGCCAAATCAACTTTCGTTATTTCTGCATTTTTAAAAAAACGTCTTGCTGTATTTCCGTCGTTAAAATTTCCAGAACCTGGCTTTGTTTACTTCCCTAACAATCATTGTGTCAATTGAGTTAAACATCTTACTCGTAGCTCCACACAAATAGCACTTCTGTGTAGAGCGCGTGTCTGTAATCGCGTTACACACTTTTCCATCTATCATTACTAAAGATAATTCATGGTGAGTTTGAGAGGTACAATGGACGTTATAAAAACTGCAGAGTTGCATGAACTTGAATATAAAAAAGCCTGTTTATAGGAACTATATCCAGAACTTCCATCAAAACCCCACTTTGAATGCAATGTTACATCAGATAGTTTTTCTTTGGAATCTTAAATATTCGTTTAACTGTGTGATTTAAAAGTCCCTGAAGAGTAACTTGTGCGGAAGTTTCACATATTTTTACTTCTTCTCGGTTGGGATAGCACTTTTGTTTTGCTTCTTGCTCTTTCGTATACGAAGGAAATCTTTCCGGAGCAACTCTTCTTATAACATTATAGCTATGTCGAGAAAGTTTCGCTTCTATTAATATACATAAAACTTCTTCCGGGCTTAATTGATGTGGCTTGTATTTCTTAAATTTTCTGTATTTCCTACATTTTGCAGCTCTTGTAGGTGTTGAAGTTGTGATTTCCTTAAGTAATTTTGCTTCTTCAATTTTTCCAGAATCTCTTAAAGCCATTTGTGTAGCATAAGTCAAAACAGATAAAGGAGTACTTTCTCTAATGCTTCTACTTTTCTTCGCTTTTGATTTTTCACAACTCTCTTCAAATGAAACTTCCTTACGTCCTCGTTCATTTGTTGGTGGGACAAAAGATATAGAAGTATCTAGCCATTCCTTATTTAAGTTCAAAAAACGTTCATTGTTCCTTTGACTTTTGCTATAACGGATCTTGAAGTCGGAAGCAAAGTTTTTAAATCTTTGTTCAAAATCAGTCATATTGGTGGGGTTTATTCGTTTAATTATTTTCATTTTTAATATGCTGATTTTACCTTTTCAGTCATGTACTTCAATATTTTTCATAAAATTATAAAGCTCAAGGCGAGGAATGAAAGTAGTATTGGGGCTTGTCCCTAAAATAGATTAAATTATTTTTTAAAATAATTTAACTGTTTTATTTGTTTAGCCTTTTACCCAGTACCGATTACTTTATTTGAAGTAAAACACTATAAACATTTCTTTAAAAACAACAAATATTAATATTAAAACACAAAATAATAACAATCATAATAGAGATGAGCTCGTGAACCGGGATTTATTTTTGTGAATTCTTAAACATGATATTTTCAGAATGGCTATTTAATCTATAATACTGATTTTAATGCAAAACAATCAGTTTCTTTAAAATTCTTTAAAATTATTAGCAAGCCATTTTTTGTTATAAATTTTCGTTATAATGTTTTTTTTTAATTTAACACTCTCGTGAATGAAGATGACTGAAACTAGTTCACGCACCTATCTCTATTGAAATTAAAATTCTCCGACAACAATAACTACAATAGTAAACATTGAACGAATGACTATAGCAAAACAAAATACACGTTAGTTTTGTTAAATACATGACTTTGAAAAAACACGACAAACAGAAAAATGTTAATAGCAAAAAATGGAGCAATAAAACCGCAAATTTTTTTGTATTATCAAGCTAAAATTCCATACTTTTAGAAAATATATTATTCAAAACCCAACCTTAACTAACATAGAAGTTATGGTCCACGAAACATCAAAAATAGGCCAATTTTAGACCTTTTTTAAAAAATCGTTTAAAATATTTTCTAAAACATTACATAATTTTTATACACTTAAATACCTGAAGTTAAAGGTTCCATTCTTAAAATAACACTTTATTAACGTTAAATTTGGAAATTACGGACTCGTTTAATGCAAAATTTAACTTTTTTCACTTTTTAAAAAAATAGCAAAAATTTTTCAACTTTTACAGCTCACTACGGAGTCAGCAGACAAGATTTACATAGTAATTTTATCCGATACCAAATATTAATACAAAAACTTAATTTTAAAAATTCAATTAAGCGTCACTTTCGACCCATTTCAACCCAACGTGCAACGCAATGAATAAGCAGTGTTGTTGTTTATTTATCAAAGCATGAACAAAATTGTTTTTTTTTATGAAATTTTCAGAGGTTGTCTTAGATTTTTATGGACCAATTTATGGACCGGTTTTGCTGATATTAAATAGCCTAACAGAATTATTGAAGATTCGGATCTCGCCGATATCTGGGGTCCTCTAAAAACTGATTTCAACAAACATACAGGCGGACAGACAAACAGACGGACATTGCTTAATCGACTCCGCTATCTATAAGGATTCAGAATATATATACTTTATAAGGTCGGAAAATTATATTTTGGAAATTACAAACGGAATGACAAACTTATATATACCCTTCTCACGAAGGTGAAGGGTATAAAAACCAATAACAGGTTTTTTGTTGTTGTTGTTTTTTCTTGAATTTTTATGACATTTTCAGAGGTTGTCTCAGATTTTTGTTCATATATCCATTATTTATGGACCGATTTTGCTGATATAAGAATAGGAAACTTCTCAAAAGTATGTTCAACAGAATTATTGAAGATTTGGATCCCGAAGATATCTGGGGTCTTCAGAAAATTGGTTTCAATAAACATACAGACAGACGGACATACAGACGGACATAGCTTATATATGTCTCGGAATATATATACTTTATAGGGTCGGAAAATTATATTATAGAAATTACAAACGTAATGACAAACTTATATATGCCCTTCTCACGAAAAATTATTTCAAAACGTTTTAGAAACTGACCTCAAAGCAAACCAAAATTATATTATTGTAAAACCACATAATGATTTTGAGTTTATTTTAACAATAGTTCGAATTTCCGAAAAGTATATTTTATTGTCATTAGGTGAAATCATTCATGCCGAATTTCAGCACATTCAGACTACAAGAACTAGTTTTAACTGCTTTAATTTTTTTTCGAACACGAGTTCGGATTTTCGATTTTTTTTAGTTTTTATTTTAAAAACATAAAAAAATTTTCGACCATAACTTTGAATTTTCTAACTTAATTTTGAAAATTCCAACATATTATTATATTGTCATCAGATGAACTTATGACTGCCAAATTTCAGCCAATTTGGGCTACGGAACTGGTTTTAAAAGCTTTCCAACCTGTGCTCGAATCTTCGAAATATTTTCCTGACTACTTGTTATGAAATATAAAAAATGAAATGAAATATAAAAACGATTTTTTCGACAATAATTTTTTTTTTTTTTGAAAATTTATTAGCAACATTCACAATGCTATCAGCAATTTTTTTTTTATCCATCCCTTTCATGTTTATAGTTTTTCATATATTTTCCTTTAATTTTTAGTACAAAAATGTAACTCAAGTTCTGTGAAAAAGTTTTACATACTTGAACTTCAGTTTCATTTTGTATGAAAAATTTGTTGACGTTTATTTTATAATAATTTTAAAATCAAAAATTATCAATTAAAATTTATACAAATTATATAAAAAACTATTAGAAAATTAATAAAAATGTGTAGGGTAGAAGGGGGATCATACGCCATAGGGGCACATCTGCCAATAGCGAATAACTTGAAAACTGAGTAATCGATTTTATCGCATTATCAAATTTTGTTTTCATTTATCGATTATCTATCATCCCTGAAAATTTGAAACATTAACTTTACATATGATGGGAGGCAGACATGATTAATTGTTTTTCAAAGGGCTGTGAAAATATTTCACTGTGTGAACTTTTTGTGCTAACTTTTTTAGTTTTTGTGATAGAAAAAATATATTGGTCAGTATTAGAACGTCAATAATAGTGAACAATAAGACATAATAATATTTTCGATAATATAATTTGAAGCCCGAAAAAAATTGAAACTAAACC